ACAATTTATTGGGAATTATAGCTGGATTTTCTTATTATTCATTGATAACATTTTAGTCGAGGAATATTTGGCCGGTAGAAAATAGGTCGTTATCGATTAATGATTTAAAGTATTAATTGTTAGAGAATATATATATATATATATGAATATTATAACATACTAAATCTAGAATTTGGCTCTAATATCAATATTCGATACAGAGAGAATTTTAATAATCAATCAACTCACTTGACAAAAAGAATAAATTATTTCATGGAAATTACGTTTTCTAAAATAAGAGGGAACTTTCTACTTAAATTTGAAACTTAATTGATTTAAATTCAATAAATAAAGGGAAACTCGATACAAAACAAAATAGTGACATGAATAAAATTTTTTTTAATTTTCTAAAACAACATTGAACGCAATTGTGTATTATTCGAAGTTTCACTATTCAAATGATTCATTATGAGAGCACGGAATGAATATTTCCCAACTAACAAATCCAACAATTAATTTATCCTTTTCAATGCAATATTTCTCTTACTATATAACTCTCTCACTAAAGTTAAAGAAACAGATTAATCATTCTTCTCAAATTTCCTTATATACTTTTCATCCCCATCATCTACCTTATTACCTTTAACTTCAACCTAATCGAATAATAAATAAATTCGCAAACGATTATGTCTTAATTTTTTCCAATATTACATATCAACAAGCATCCACGTCCGTAAAGATCATTCAGTTTTTCACAACTCGTTGACAAATCGTACTCGCTCTATTTTCCAAATATATCCATTAATTAATTCCCCAATAATCGGCGCCTCACACGAAATACATGTGAAAAAATCGTATCGATCTCGAGGCAACCACCCCTGTTTCACGCAAAATTCGTTCACGAATCAACTCTGCCCCGCGAAGCTATCACCCGCGCATTAATGAAGCTACGCGAAAAGCGTTTTCCGCACAGATCATGTGCAATTCGCGTGATTCCGTGCAAAGTTGTTTGCTTACGTGTGCATGCAATAAATACACGCCCACGCCTGTTTACCCGGCCCTATATCCCACTGGAGGATATCGTTCACCGTAAACACCGCGTTCACGTTTAAGTACGAAGCATGAATTTTAGACTGGATAGGAAACGTGTTTTTATCCTTCTTCGAACAGGTCGCTGTGTAAACGGGGGGGGGGGGGGAGATGGATGTGGAATCGTTAAGAGCTGGATTGATTGGAAAATATATGCGCTGTTTAAAGGGGATGATGGTAGGTTTATTATATATTTTTCTGAGCCACCTGTGTGTATTCGTACTTGGCAGAGGATCGCTCGAGGGAATTTTTTGGGATGATGGTGAAAAGAAAAATAATTGTGACGTGTTATTTATATACGTGGGAATAAATTATTTTTTAGATCGATGATAATTGTCTAATTGTAAATTGAAGATGATTAGTTTCTGTTCGAGTTATAGAATATAGAAATATAGAATATATTGGAATAATTTGAAAAATGATACAATATAATACGTGGGTTCGTAAATTGCATTTGAAGAAGATTGTTTGAGGTATTTCTTTAATTAGTTATTATCATTATTTAAAAAATATCTTATAGTTAATTAAATATTATTAAATATTAAAGCTATAATATAATTTTTTAACGAATTGCAACATACTCTTGATATGATATTTCAGGTATCTTTGAAGTAAAAAATAATATGCAACTGATGATTCAATGAACGCGATCATAAATTCGAATCTTGTCTAATTTCGATCGTTTCATCTATATAATTTTCTTCTAATATAATTAAATGTAATAATATAATAACAATTGCAGTAATGAAAAATACTTTTCTTAAAGAAAATTTAAATTAAGCAAAATTATTTTGCAAATCGATCACGCACAATGACAAAACAAAATGTCAAAGTACACGTGCAAAACCGAGAAATGAATCGAAATCACTTTGATTCCCGAATCTATTCGCTTATTCATTTAGCACATCGTGAATTTCCATTTTCCTTTAATATCCGGTCATCCAACCATCTGCTCCCTTCTTGGCTCGAGAAATTTCAAGCGTGAAAAGAAGTCGCCTTCGTATATATCTGAACGGAGCAAAAGTTGTAAATATGTAGACTGACGTTCGCTTTAGGATTCATTAATAAAGGTAGCCGCTTTCGTGTACAACGATTAATCACATCAGTGACGCTTACGACAGCCTTTATGGAGCCGTTAAACTCCGCTATGAAGATAATCCAGACTTTAAAAGCCGCCCTCTTTAACGTTCCTTTCTCTCTCTCGCGCCGAGATTAACCCTTTCCTTCTACTTTCACTTCTTTTTTTTTTTTTTCTTCTCCTCTCTTTACCTTAACGTTCTTGATCGTTACCCCTCCCCAAGATCGTCTACCGGAAAATCATGATTACTTGACCGTGACGATGGATTTGCATTATCAAGGGTATTCTGATAGGGTGTAAAATATAGGGTGTAATGAAAGGAGATGAAATTTGGACGAGAAGAAAAGAGATTTTAATAAACGTAGGATTGCATACGAACGGAAGAACTTTAGCAAGTGTCACGAAATTTGTTTAAGGTTTAAGTTCGATAAAATGAAGTACTTGTAGAAATTATTGTGTTTACAGGAAAATAACGAACGTTATTTTTAAAAAAAAAGTTAGACTTTTAAATTAATATTTTATATTCGAACCAGTACATTATTGTAATATAAAACATTTATATTCTTTGTTATAACGACACCGCACAAATTTTCTTCTTCACAGTTTCATCATCTTCCACAAAATTAACAACGTCACGCGCATTACACGTTTATATGGCACAATCTTGAAAATAATTGCAAAAATATATGGCAAACTAATAATCCTCAGAAAACAACAAAACAACTGTCACAAAAACGCTGTTCAGATCGAGGATACAATTGACAACTCCCAGTAAGTCTGTTCTTCGAGAAAGAAAAAGAAAAAAAAAACGAGACGTGGATTAATTTTAATTTCATTAGAGCAGCGAATGCAACTCGGCTCTGCGCATCCCTCCGTAGACAACAATTATTCGTGCACTATAATACCTAGTGGCACTTGTGCATCCTTGGTAGTAATTGCATGCCAATGTGTTAGACGTTTCCCTTTCAAGATATCAGGCAGGCATAGCGATGCACACCGCCACAAACGATACGAGGGGATACGTTATTAAAGTGTTCCTTAACACTTCGTTACTCGTATCCTACATAACGTCATGAATATTAGATTCGAGAATCTAATATTCTATTGAAGGTATTATACGACAAAGGATAAATTTAAAATTAATTTGCGTGGTGGTTGTACGATTTTATTCTGAATCTGTTATTAAAAGTTCTGGAAAGATAAATTATGAGATGATTCTTCTTCGATTTCAATATTCTGAATTGAAGAATATATAAGAGAAAGGATAAATTCATTAATTTATATCTTTAATTCTTTGTGCACGATCGTTTATTTTAACAATTTTCGTATTATTTGCAATTTTGAATTTTATGCTCGAGCAACATTGTTAGTTTTTTAAATAATTTAAAAGAAAAGAGTGATAACAACAAGTATGAAATAAAATCGTGTCAGATATCACATAATTTATCTCAGAAAAATTGTACAAAATTCATATGTCACATACGTATACAGGATGTTCGAACGAAACAAGTCGAAAAGTGAAGATTTGAAAAACTTTGAAACAAAAATAAGAAAAAAGAGATATGCAAAAAATATTTGTTTTTTAAGTTACAATCAATTTAAATAATTCTATTTCTATAACTTAAAAAATTTAATTCTCAACTGATATTTTTACAATTATCCCTTAAATTTTCCATCTACTTCGAACACCTGTGCACCGTGTGTTCATAATCAAAAATACACAGCGTTGAGGAACATGGTAACGAGTCCTCTCGACGTCGATGGCACGGAAATAAAACATTCTCAAGTTAAAACATTTTTTGCGAAATCGCTTATTTGTTTTTTCAAATGCATGCAAATAAGTATTGGCTTTACTCGTTTTACAAGATACAACTCGGCTATTTCTTCCATATTCTTCCACGTTCTCTTTTATTTAATTTTTTATTCTGTCCAACTTCTCTTCGTTCTTCGCTCGCCTAATTTCCTTCGTCTCTGCATTCTCTCCTCCTCGTTTTGGAACAATCCTCTTCAAAAGGATCGGCGGGAACACGACCTAGGATCGCCAGGAATGAATGCGAGAACGTTATGTGATCGTGTGGGAATGCGTACTCTTCCCTGGACTGTTAGATTTAGGATCGAGAGAGATGATTATTTTTTTCTAAACAATAAATTATATATGTAGAAACGAGAAATTGATAAGACATGGTACGTCTTGTCGATCAGAAAAGTGTTAAGAAATTGTGTCGAAGATTTAGATACGTAATTGCTCGTAATTAATATTTGATCGTATTATTTTCTCAATTTATTTACACAAAAGAATTGTTTAAATATCGTGTTGCTAATAATGTGAAAAATATGAAGGATTCAAGATTCATGTTTTCACGTCAATAGCCAGTGAGATATTTAAAAAATAATTTCTTGTAGAATAAAAATTTAAAAATAGTATAATTTTTATATATTAATACGAGTAACTGTATATGGTTTTATTATTTTATATACGTACACATATAGATAATAATATCATAAATATGAATTAATCAGAATTTCTTGGGTATAAATACTTATTTCAACTACTCTCGATCCTCGAATCTGTTTGAACAAATTCTTAATATGTGTGTGTGTGTGTGTGTGTGTGTGTGTGTGTGTGTGTGAAGATGGTCACATGAGACGAATGAAAGATTGAAACAATTAGGTAGTATGAAAAGGAACAATCATACGATTCGATGAATCTAATTTGTCGTCGAATATTTTTGAAGTAGCCCTACAGTCTTTCATTCTTAGAATCGAGCGGATCCCCGATCCATTGCCGTGACTAATCGCCTCCTTTTTATGTTCTTTTCTTCGGGGTATCTTCTGGAACACCCCTGGAATTCAGGGTCGTACTTCAATTGCATCATGTTCATGGTGGCGAGCAGCGTCGTTTTGACAGTGTTGGTGCTCAACTTTCATCACAGAACGCCGGACAGATACGTGATGCCATCGTGGGTAAGAGATTTGTTTTAAATTATTTTACGAATTTTGCGTATTAACTTTTTTCGACCGAAATTGTTAATTTATTTATTCGTATCATTGATCTGAAGATTTTAAACTTACAGAGTTTTAAACGATCGAATAATGATACGTAATTTTTGCATGAATCGAATCATTAAATATTTTTAACTATTATGTAAAAAACAAAATAATAATAATTTCACTCATAATTCGAATAAATCTTATTTGTTGAATTTTAAAAAGCAAATAGGTCGAAAAAGGTTAAAAATAAAAATAAATTAAGCATTGAATCTCATCATTTATATTGTAATCATTGATTTGAGTAATTGTGTTCATAATCTACATTTTTCTTTATATTTCTTACGTTGTATAATATGTTATATTTTTAAAAAGATATTCTTTTTTCTTGGATTTATAATGTAAAAATTAATTTCTTTTCATATTTTTACTCGTCTTCTTTTCGTTTAATCCTCGTATTATCATAAAAGAAAATAAATCAAGTTATCTCGCTTGCATAAATATGATTGTCTTTGATCGATTGTGTTATTATTCGCGGATAACAAAAGAAGAAATCCGAATATGCGTGATGTTCTTCCATTATGAAAGAAAGAAAATATAAATTGAGAAAAAAAATAATTTCTTTTTCGTAATATATTTTATGATTAGTTTTATTAAACAAGAGAAGAAATAATTATTTTGCATTCTTACTGTTGCTATCTTATTGTTATTTAAATTAAATTAAAATTAACAATACATGTATTTTCGCTTTTTTTTATCATTTACAATTTTACTATTAAAATATACATTTTAAAATATTATTAATAATAATATCGTATTATTATCGCATTAGTAGTTTGTTCGTAAAAAAATAATATATATATAACATAATAACATATAATAAAAACTCAATATGTAATTGTAATCGGTCGAATTAACAAACGTAATAACAGATTGAAAGAGTTTTGTAAATCAATAATTCAACATTTTCGTTATTTACTCGTGTTATATAATTCGATGAAATATAATTGATATATGTTCATCAATAACAGTCTATAAATGTCGTTATATCATAATCGTTATTTCATCCTCTTTTGTAGCATAAATCTCTTGAACGAAGAGAAAAATCTGGAAAAATTGATAATAACTAAAAAAAAAAAAAAAATAATGGTAATAAATTATTCATAATTCGTGATAATAATAATACAAACTCTCAACGAATAACGAAGCGAGATATTCGCACTTGAGATTGAATTACAAGCTTTCGAAACTTGTTCAGTTTACCGAAACGCGAGAGAGAGAGAGAGAGAGAGAGAGAGAGAGAAGTAAACTTGACAGATGTATGACAAA